TTCAATTGAATGACAATTTAACATGAATAGTGTGTGCTTTCAATTGACTAAAGAGATTGACCCACTTCTCCAAGCAGAGTCTTTTCAATTCTTCCTTTTACCAGTCGAGCAAAGTCAGCATCATCATCTTGGTCAAGATGCGCTGTAATAATTGGAGTGCTGCAAAGTAAATTAACAGATTAACTATTATTTATGCTTTGAGCTCAGCCAGTCAAGAAGAATATCTATGATCTCCCACGATGGTAGTCTAGAATTTAAAACGATGGAAGAATGGAGCACCCTCTAGGAAACTGTAGCATTGGATTTGAAGAACTAACAGTCACTTCAATTTGCTTGGCTCATGTGGGGGAAGTAATGGCAACTCTTGACTAAGGTGGCAGATATGGCATAGGCATTTGATTTGCTACCCTGTATAGATTGTTCTTTTGCTGGAATAAGAGCTGTATCAAGTGCACCATATATCAATCCATGAACAGAACATTCCGATTCCTCATTCTACCCTCAACCTTTTCTCACCCTTCACCTTATTCTGAACACCTGAAAAAGATGTGTAGGAATAAATATCCATACAGGGGAAAATGGACAGAACAAAATCAAGTGTTAGCTTTCTAAATTATATTTGGTGTGAGTTAGGCATCTTAAAAAGCTGTAACAGATAAATTATCCTCATGGAGTACCAGTTAAAATTTAAATTTAAAATCTTGTAGAAAAGCTGATTTAATACTCACACTAAAACTCAACGTCTAACAAACTAAAGCATGCAGAAAAACAAGCCATGTTCAGATTTACCTTATAGATTTTGATGCATTAATAATTTCCTTTATTCTGGGTACACCCAGAGTAATATTCATAGAAGCTACACCAGCAAAGTGGAAAGTCTTCAAGGTCATCTGTGTGCCTGGCTCTCCTATACTCTGTGCACATAAAGCACCAACAGCAGAACCTGGTTCCATTTGGGCTCTGTTAAGGGGATAAATATGTAAGAGATCAAGATAAACAAGGAAGAGATCATAACAATGCCTTTTAATAAAATTATTAAAAATCTTTGTAAAGTCCTAATCCTTTCACTTTTTATTGCCAAATACAAAATATCTTAAGAGTTGTTCTTGAAATCTGAAATCACATATAGGCCAGACCACACAAGGATAGCAGACTTCCCTCCCTAGACAACATAAGTAAACCAGGAGGGTTTTTATAACAAGAATTGATTATTTCTTGCTCATCATTACTGAGGCAAGTTTTATAATCCATATTTATTAATTGAACCAACTGCTGTGGGATTTGAATCCAAGCATTCACCTGGGCCTGTGGAGTACGAGTCCAGTGACATTACCACTACACTGACTCCTTTTACCATCACCTTTTCAGGCAGTGCATTTCAGATTAAAACTACTCACTGTGTACATTTCTGCAGTTTGCCTCTTTTTCTTCCCTGGGAATCACCTTAAGCCTGTGCCCTATGGTTACTCAAATGTCCGTAATTGGAAGTGGTTTCTATCATTTCACTTTTTCCCTTTCCATCACAATTCTTCAAGTCTTGGAACACCTCTGTCAAATTGCTCCTTCACCTTCTCTATTCTAACTAGAAAAACTAGTCTTCTCATGTAACTGAAGCCCTTCATTCCTAATTTGTAGAACAGGATTTCATTTCTCAGCTTTTTAAAAACAAGATAAATAGTGTGCCTAACATCTTCAGTGCTTGTTCCTTGATGCATATCTCTGCCAAGCCTGAGCAACTTCTTGCTGAACACACTTCTGAACAACAACCAGGTTTACAGCTGAATTTGAATCAGCATTAAACTGATCAGATTAAACAATTAATTTAGCACGTTGATCTCGACTCAGAGGTAGTACTCTCACCTCCAAGTTAAAACACTGTTGTTTCAAATCATCAAAATAACAAAATTAAAAACCTCGCATGAAAGTAGGACTGCTCCAGTCTTTGTGGAATTTATGTAAAAAGACAAATCACACCAAAAATCAAACATGCAAAAAGGAAATGCGCTTGCTGCAGAACTGAAACTAGGATGGAATTTGTGGAGAAACTCAGCAGGTCTGGCAGCATCTGTGGGGAGAAAGTAGAGTTAACGTTTCAAGTCCAGTCACACACTATCAGAAATGGGTTAGCAGATTCAAAACGTTAACTCTGCTTTCTCCCCATAGATAATGCCTGACCTGCTGAGATTTTCCAGCAATTTCTGTTTTTACTTAACACCAAAAATCAGTTCATCTCCAATAAAGTGATTCAAATCAATAAACAGGTTCCACAAACTAAACAGCAAGTTCAGCTGCCAAACCTAATAGTTGTAATCATACCCAACGATTACTTGATCCAAAGTAACCAATCCAATATATTTTTAAGAGGGTGAATTTAATGAAAACGTGCACACGAAACAGAACCACAATCTTACGTATTTGCATCTCACCTCATGTACTTGTCCCTACAGGTTTCTAGAAATTTGTCTACTTGTGTAGGAGTTATTCGATCCAACTGGTATAAAACACGGGGCTAGAGAGATAATTGAAGATTAGTCACTAATTGTGGACTAGTTAAATACTATGACCATACACATTTATGAAAGGCATTGTTAAGAGTATGAAGTGAATATATTGTATCTAGTTTTCTTAATTTTAAATTTCAGAAAACAATTTTTGTGTTTGAACCCAATGGAATAATGCAATGAATCATACTGGTGTATTAAAAATAAATTATAAACATATATTGAAGAATGTAATATTAAATTTAATACCTCAGTAGTTCCATTGTCATTAATCCCATATTTGTCTCTGGTTTTCTTGATCTTCTCAGAAAAATCCTTGATAAAATTTCTGATTGCCTAAAGAAAGAAAAGTCAGATTCATTATTCAGAACATTTTGTATGACATCTAATTATTAACCATTGAGACAGGTCTGAGGCGTAAAATAAATTCCTTGATCAAAGTATCACTCTGAGAATGGAGAGATATTCCTGGAATGTTCATATCAAAATTCTATTTGATTCCAAGATGGTCAGTAGAATATCAGACTAAGAAAAATCTAGTCTTGTGAATTGAAAGTTATTTTCCTTGAAGGAGGTGTGAATTTAAATAAAATTGTACACAGAACAAAGAAAATTACAGCACAGGAACAGGCCCTTCGGCCCTGCAAGCCTGCGCCGATCCAGATCCTCTATCTAAACCTGTTGCCTATTTTCCAAGGATCTGTATCCCTCTGCTCCCTGCCCATTCATGGATCTGTCTAGATACATCTTAAATGATGCTATCGTGCCCGCCTCTACCACCTCCACTGGCAACACATTCCTGGCACCCACCACCCTCTGCGTAAAGAGCTTTCCACGCATATCTCCCTTAAACTTTTCCCCTCTCACCTTGAAATCGTGATCCCTAGTAATTGAGTCCCCCACTCTGGGAAAAAGCTTCTTGCTATCCACCCTGTCTATACCTCTCATGATTTTGTAGACCTCAATCAGGTCCCCCCTCAACCTCCGTCTTTCTAATGTAAATAATCCTAATCTAATCAACCTCTCTTCATAGCTAGCGCCCTCCATACCAGGCAACATCCTGGTGAACCTCTTCTGCACCCTCTCCAAAACATTCACATCCTATTGGTAATGTGGCGACCAGAACTGTACGCAGTATTCCAAATGTGGTCGAACCAAAGTCCTATACAACTGTAACATGACCTGCCAACTCTTGTACTCAATACCCCGTCCGATGAATGAAAGCATGCCGTATGCCTTCTTGACCACTCTATCGACCGGTGTTGCCACCTTCAGCGTACAATGGGCCTGAACACCCAAATCTCTGTGTATCAATTTTCCCCAGGGCTTTTCCATTTACTGTATAGTTCGCTCTTGAACAGGTAACGCATCTATCCCTGGCGCATCATATTCACCAGTTCATTCATTATGGAGACCCTGAATGATAGAGACATTTAAAACGGGCTTTGAGGTAGACTTGGAATTGGTAATTAAATCTAGTGAAATCTGTTGTTTGTACTCTTCCTCCTTCCAATTTTATTTCCTGATTTCTCAATTGGTTTGTGCTCCCATTCTACAGTCTGCCAGAGTTGTCATCTTTCTGTTTATCGAAGAAATCCAGAGGTTATGGGGCAGCTAACATTATTTTTGGTGAGTTTATCAGTACAAGGCATTTGTAATTAACCCTAGGTAAATGTCTTGAATTCCTCTGTGGACATTTCAGTTCATTGGAAATAAAAGCATAGCTGTAGAAGCCGTCAAATGCACAAATCACAAAACAGATTACCTGGAGAAGCCTGCATTAAAAGCAGAAATTCTTTGAAGCACACACCATGCTTAATCAATACATCCAAAATATTAATGCATTTGCCACTTTCAATCCAACAGAAAATTCCCAGTTATATTCATTCCTCATGGACAATGCCAAATATTAAGATTTGAAGGTACGAGTAACTAAGTGGGTAAACACACTGTGCAAGGTTACAGAGGACCATACAGACCAGTAACGTTTTAAGATCAATCCTTGATCCAGTCCAAAATGATCTAATCTCATTTATTACCATGGTGGGAAGAAAGTGCAACGATTGCTGTTTTCCCGAAATATGAAGAGCTGCAGAAATCATTTGCAAAGGTATCCTATACTGCTAATTAATAATTGGTTAGAAGTAGGAGACAGAGTGCAGGTACAAACAGTATACACACTCTGATAGGTAGGGTTCTTGTGGTGCAATGGTAGCACCCCTGCCTTTGAGCCAGGAGGCTCGGGTTTAAGTCCTGCTTCATAACACATTTGAACAGGATGATCAAACATACCTACATTCTGATAGATTGTCAGGGCTCAAGTCCAACCTACGCTGAAAAAGTGTGTTATAATATTTCCAAACATGTTAAGTAAAATAACTACACTCTGATTGACAAGACGTTCCAAAGGGTGTTCCAAGTGGCGCCTCAACTGTCCATTATGATACTTATGTGCCACAACAGTAATGTCCTTCCCTCTGGACCAGAAAGTCTGGGTTCACATCATACTGCTCTGAGAGAGGTATTATAACTGAGCACGTTGAATAAAACAAAGTTAAAGAAAAAGGGTCTTCTGGCATAATGGTAGTGTCCCTACCTCTCAGTCCAGGTTCAAGTCTCTCCTGCTCCAGAGGCCTGTCATAACATGGCTGCTTAAAAATAACTATATTGTTGACAGAGATGAACAAATTGAGAGGGTGAAGTCTGACATGGCAGAGATGTAAAACAGGCTGCAATTCATCTATTTGACTTCAACTGAATAGGAGTCAGTGCGTTGTGTAATGGTCAGCAAAGTCAATTCTGCCCACTGGCATTATCTGTCCATGCCAGTTTTTAACCAATCCCTTGATAGAGGTATATAGCTGGTTTAGGATTTGAATTAAGCCTAGATCAATGAGACCACAGCTACTTTCTGTTACCTGTAAGATGAAACAATTTTGGGGCATTTAAACCCAGTTGCTTTCAAGTTTCAAATTGATAGTGTAATACTACTCAAAGTTTGATCAAGTTGCAATCTCACCTACAGGGTGTAGGAAGGTCAGTGTGGCCAATGTCTATATTGGTGTTGTACTATTGACGCTAGATTTAAAACAGCACACCAGTGCTGGACAATAAATATAAAGAGTACTATTCCTTCAAAATTTCCAACGAATAAAAATCTGATCTTCTAGAGTGATCCTGATGGGAAATTCTGACTTGAAGTTTTGATGTACAACAACTAATTGCTTCATGAGTTATTAAATACATAAGGTACATAATATTAAAGCTTCCTGATGCAGGGGTGCTAAATTTATGGATTGTAAATTACTTTTTCTGACTGATTTTAAAAACAGCTCTGATCTGATATACTCAGTGTTAGCAGCAAAATCGGCCAGGCATTAGGGAGATGTTTATAACAAACAAGATTCAGTAAGGCAAATATGACCAATCACACAACTGTAGCTATTACCTCAATGTACTTCTCACAATCAGTCCCAGTTAGAGCCTTTAGAAATGGGATAGGCTAATCAATATGCGGAAGTGAAAGAAAACAAGAAAAATATTTGCCTGTATCTATAACATATTATCCTTAGATGTAAAGAGAATGAAAATTCAGTGAACCTGCAGATATTCATTTTGACAACAAAGGAATTCGCTTCTCTTCATAATTGCCTCCGCAGCTGTAACCACTTCATTCTTACTCAAAGCTGGTTCACTGTGGCATGGGTAAATGGCCTAGGAGGAAAGAAAAGCAGAACAATCAGGGAGACTTTCTCTTAAAAACCAACTGGCAAATTAAACCACTCGAGACTGGTTTGGTTAAACATAAAATGAGCAGTAAAAGATTCTGGTGGTTCATCTAGGTTTTATATTTGATGAACCAAACATTTCCATGTACTATAACCATCCAAAAGGCTGTCTCCAGGGATAACTAGTACGTACACGATATATGCTTTGACATGTTGAGTACAAGGAACTTACCAAGTCCTATGCCAATATTTAAAAAATTCAATTAATGTGCAGGTCTTGAAAAAAGTGCAATTGTTTTATATACACACATATATAAAAATGAGAAAACATTTTTTGTTTTCCAAATTCAATTGTGAAAATTAATTAAGGGCATGGATTAATGCAAGCTCTGTTAGGCACCTCCTACTGAAGGAACTATGATTGATTAAACTAAAATCTTTCCTTTATTCTCAGGAATAATTTAACATTCACAACTGGCAGAAAATTAAACTGTAACACTGAGTATGGCTAAGGTGCAGCATCAAGACCTTGCACCACAATGTGTTCCAGTAAGGTCCAATCTCAAAACTCCATTGATCTTCCTAACTCATCTGCACTGGCAATACTAAAAGGGTGGGTCATTATTACACAGTTTACAAAAAATATTGCGTCAAATTCTACAGCAGTCTGAGAGATATTTCCGAGTCTGAGAAACTACTCAGTTTGATAAAGTTGCTATCTCACTTAGAAGGTGGAGGAAGGTCAGTGTGGATGATGTCTTTACTACGGATGTTGGATTTACAACAGCCCACTAGTGCTGGACAACGGGTATCAAGAGTATTAATCGTCCAAAATTTCCTACAAATAATAATCCGATCTTCCTGGGCGATCTTGGTGGGAAATTCTGAGTCAATGTAGCCACATACTCTGGTTTGAATGTAGTTAAGACTCAACGACATCCGAAAATGTCCTCAGCTTGCATTTACGCCGCCAAGTAACTGGCAACACACACTAGTAAGCATACTCTGGCACCTCACTTTGGCTGAAGAGCTAAAACACACAGAATGCTGGAGAAACTCAGCAATTCTGGCAGCATTTATGGAGAGAAACAGATTTAACATGTTGAGTTTAATAGGACTCTTCTTCAGAGCAGACATTTGAAACAGATGCTGCCAGACCTGCTGAGTTTCTCCAGCATCCTCTAGTCTACTTTTAGATTTCCAGCATTTGATTTTTTGAAACCAAGAGAGAGTATCATCAGTTTTATCAGGTTAGGTAGGTCATAGCACACCTCTAAACTGCCTGTTGGAAAACAGACTTGCTTAAAATTGCCTTTGTTTCTAAACTCTGTTCAAAATGGCAGCCTTCTGACCAGCGTACAATGCTTACATTACAGCAGCAGGACAAAGAACCCTAGATGGATTATTACAAATTTTAAGAATTGGTAAACTCTCTAATTGATAGAAGCCTCCTTTGCGAACTTGCAATTCAAGGGAATGGATCTTTTGGACCCATTGCTGGAGTTTCCATAGAAAGTAATAGGCCCCTAACCAAAATACATTCCAAATTCAAATCGACGCTGCTGAGTTCTTGCAGCCTTTGTAAATTTTTTTTGCAAAGAGCATTGTAGACAAGGGTCTAACAGGAGAATTTTGGCTGGAATTGGTAAATGGTTAGGAAAGAAGTATTTGCATGTTAAGAAGTGTCGCTTATTAGACTGCATGGCTAGAATATCCCCTATCAGTAAAGGTTCTCTTGTGCAGTACCAGTTAGTAGTTTGGCAATAGCCACAATCCAAATTTTGTGTTTTTGTCCGAGCACCATTTTCAGAAATTCTGCCTCATGGAAGGACACGACACAAATACTCTCTGGTGTGCCATTGCTGACAACTGCCAAGTGGAAGCGAGGGCTGAAATCAGGGCTTGATTTTGAGTGACTCTTTTTAAGATGGAATAGCCTGGCTTTCCAGTCTCATTGCTATACTGTCTTTAGGTGCAAAGCTAAATGTTCAGGTGGGGAGGGATTTGGTGGGAGGAAGGGTTGGAGCAGACACATGGGAGCAGAGGATGAGGGAGGGAAAAATATCTGAATGGTTGGTAGGTAGATAGAACAGATGGCAGCACTAGTTGCCTTGGAGGGTGAGACCCAGAATTCTCAGCTGGTCCCCACTCTGACTTTTGGAAGCCCAGTTCTACTTGTTCCAGGTTCATCGACAAGATTAAATCTTAGCGATCAAGAGCAAAGCAGCTCGGAAATCTCTTGTTGTGAGGCTTTGGAATTTCCTTCCAGAGTTTAGAAAGAAATGATAAGATTCAAGAAGAGGAGACAGGATAAACAGGAGTAAGGAGAGGTGTTAAAAGAAAACAGGAACATGACAGGTAGTTGTGCTTAGGACCAAATGAATACTGAAGACAGAGACACACTAGACAAGCTTGATTCTGTGTTACCGCAGTAGTGATGTGTGGATGGGGTAATTTGTGATAGAGAATGAATACAATCCAGGCTTGATGGTTGTGGGTTTCAAGAGCTGATTCAGTGACTTGAGCAAATAATTCATGCAGACACTCAATGATGCACCAAAGTGGGTATAAAACTCGAGGGCACAGATTTAAGGTGAGAGGGGCAATTTTAAAAAGGACCTGAGGGACAACAATTTGATGCAGAGGGTGGTATGTGTATGAATGAGCTGCCAGAGGAAGGTACAATTACAACATTTAAAAGGCATCTGGATGGGTATATGAACAGGAAGAGTTTGGAGGAATACAGGTCAAATGCTGGTAAATGGGAGTAGATCAGATTGGGATGTCTGGTTGGTGCGGATGAGATGGACCAAAGGGTCTGTTTCTGTGCTGTATGACTCTATGACTCTAAATGCATGAAAGGTAGAAAGTGAAAGAGGTATATAATCCTTGAAAGAGGTTAATGGCTCTGTAGGAGCATACCAGCAAAACGTGAGATTTGCCCATGGCATTCTTCCATCAAAGGAGACCTGTGGCCAATCACCTCAGAAAAGACTGGGACTTAACAGAGTCTCATCCTATAAATAACAGCATATAACCTTGTTGCAAAAATGCTGTTGCTTACAGAAGAAACAACTGGCTCGACACTGAACTTAGCCCTTGGTAAAAGGAATGAAACTGAAGAAGAATTGTTCAACAGCAATATTGTCAGAGACAGGAAGAAGGTTGCCTACTGGACTTAGACAAGTGAGGCCACAAAAAATTCTGTGGGAATGCATGGTGATGATGGGAGGTGATGGTTTAAACTGCAAGATCAAATATACTTTGATACAATCAATTAATCCTTTAGAATACAAGTTTTAGAATTAAACCTTTATCTCAGGTGCTTCCAAAGTTGAAGAATTCTTATTAACTCGGGAAATCCACAAATCTTAAAACAAAAATGGTGAAATCAAGATATGAGGCTTTGGTTTCTCCTATTGCCCAGTTAACACTACTTGAAATGGATCCTGATACAATAGCAATAATTTTAATAAGATCTTTTCTCTAAATAGGAACCCCAAAACTAGTCGTTACGTTTTAACTCATTACAATTAAGCCTGTAGTCAAAGTACATTATTTACATATATTTGCCCTCAAGCAGGCAGAATCCAATTTAAGCTGGATGTTGCAGAAGCAGAACAACTTCAAGTCTGATCAGGCCTCACAGCACATTACAACATGCTGCATTTCAATAGTTATCAACAGAATATCATTACCCGAATATTATCCAGAACCCTCTTAAATTCTAAAGGTTCATCTTTGCCTTCCATAGCTGCTGGATCTAAGCCATCGCCACCATAGATAAACTGGATGATATCACCAGTTGAGCTGCGAACAGTTAAATCATACTGTGTGCAAAGATCCTCTAAAGATTTAACCAAACGTCTCTGGGAAAGACAAACAGAAAAAAAAATTCAGACTAGATGATTACACAGTAAACACTCCAACTGTTTTCCAAATGTTTGTTGGCAATGAACATCTACAGATATACAAGCAAGACTTGTACACAGGACTATGTCACTTTCAGAAATGGTTCTAAAAACCAGAAGGGGCAGATATTCAGCAAATGCATTTTATTTATTACCACTTAGCTTCTGTGATGTACTCCAAAGATAAATGTAAAGTCAGTGCAATTGTAGAATATACAATTATGAAATATTTTTATTTAATTCACTCTTGGGACTTGGGTGTTGCTGGCAAGCCACCATTTATTGCCCATCCCTAGTTTTGCCTGTGAGGTGGTGGTGGTCAGCTGTCTTCTTGAATCCCTACAGCATGTGATCTACAGCAGTGCAAGCAGGCAGCTCATTGCCACCTTCAAGGGCAACTAGAGACAGGCCAGTCATTGATGACCGTGTCCCACGAGTGAATAAAACAAAACTTGCTGAAGTTTTACTAAACCTAACCTAACCCAGGGTGCATGCATGACTGCATGGGTACATG